CAAGCAAAGTGAAATTTTTTGGTTTGTTATTGTTTTCCTAGTTAATGAGTTAAACAAAAAAAATCGAAAGTGGTAAGAACAATTAGTTTTAAATCCCATATCATAAACAATGAAACGGTTCAAATTATCATTTAACCAGAAAAACCAAAGCCTGATATCTCTCTCCTAAGCTAAATACATGTGATGTCGTTGAAAGTTGAGTAGCTCGATCATATTACACATTTAAATCAATTGTTAATATTACAAATTGCAAGATTTGCCTACACTATTACATCAAAGAAAAACATTGTTAGGCTGGAATAACTAAATAAGTGATAGAATGATTTCAGTTGAGCTAATACAACTTCATTGGCCACCGATCTACACCTAAAACACAATTAAACAATCCAAATTCCACCCGCCCTGCTGCAACTTCTGATTTCTACCGCTCCTTCATACTTTGGTGAGGAATTGAAATTAATAGAGGGACGACATACGGCCGACTCCAACACCAACTTTGGATTTCTACCCCTTCCAAATCCATATAGGGTACGAAGAGATGTTGCCATCCCGGAAAGTCGGCCTCGGCCTGCTATCGTGTTAGCCCACGTAAGGCCCAATTGAGTTGCTTAATCCGAGAAAATCTTGGGTGGGACGGGAGTACCACCTTGACAGGGTGATGTGGTGCACCCTCCCAATCCAATCTCGCCACCTGTCCCTAGGGGTGGGCATTCGGTCGTTTCGGTTTCGATCGAACCGAAATTATGAATACCGAGTCCCCGAATTCTCCCAAACCTCAAACCGAATTCGAACCGAATTATAATTAGGTTCGGTCGGTTTAAACCGAATTATAATTCGGTTCGGTTCGGTTTCTAACACAAAACCGAATTTGTTAAACTACTTGTATCTTCTCACTTTTAAATTATTTTTATCTCTAATATAACCAATAAATATGTAATTATATGCATCATCAATGATAAACTCAAAATTTTCAACACATAAGTCATAAAATATTTCAAATATTTAAGTCTAAAAGCAACTACAAACATAAAAATCCACCATTTGGAGCTTGCAATTATAGTATTTCGGTTTTTCGATCGGAAATTCGGTTCGGTTGAGAGAACCCTGGTTTTCGAACTATCCATATTTTCCATCCGAATTCCGAACCGAATAGCATTAATTCGGTTTCGGTTCGGTTTAATTTGGTTTCGGTTTGATTCGGGTTTACCGAACCGGTTGCCCACCCCTACCTGTCCCACACTAAAAAAACATTTAAAACTAAAACTTAAAATCCTTTTTTAATGTTTCCTTTCTGCGTTGAGACATGAGCCCTTTCTCTTTTGGATTCCGCTATGGATTGTCCGATTTCAATTCTTTTGGATTCCGCTATGGAATTGTTCTGTACTTTTGGTTGGTTCATTGATGAATGATAATGGAAGTAATAGAAGGATTTTCTTTTTTGAATGCAACTGGTGGGTTTTCGTCATGTGGGTATTGAGCTTTGATATTTACCTTGAATTTTGACATTCTCTTCCAGTTCAACCTTTATAATGAAGATGATCTATTATTCAACCATTCCAACATGCTCAATAAGTTGTCTGCTAAGTGGGATAATCAAGCATTACAGGGGTTGGGTTTTTTATTAATCAAGCTAAATGGGATAATTAAAACCTAATTAAACAGCAAGTTGTGGCAAAGGGTCGCGCCGCAAGCTGTCTCCCCGCTAGTCTCCAATGGAAGGAGGCTTTTTTTTTTTTAAAGAACCAAAATGCAGCACCTCATTAAAGAGGCAGGGGTTGGAAAGACATTTATACCCTTCTGTGAAGCTCTCAGGATGCAGCATTTTTGAATCCCTGCAATTTGGAGTCATGAATATGCTTCATAAATTTTATATATATATATATATATATATATATATATATATATATATATATATAGTGGCTTCTATCGTACATTGGGTAAAATCTAGGGTACAACATACCCTGAGTAAGAAAACACTATATAGAACTCGAATTAACCGTATTTTTGGGCATGAAACTATACCCTAACCCTTTATGAGTGAACCCTAGGTCTTAGTTTTCTAAATCATAGAGCCTAGCCCCTAAGATTGTGCATGTAATTTGTTGCATATATTTCGACGAATCATAACCGTCGATTTTTGTTTCTGGTTAAATTGATCTTAGTATGTGAGATTTATATAATTAAGACCTAGATTTTAATCTTTATGGGTTTAGGAATAGTGTCAGATGCCAAACTCTGGTCAATTCGAAGTCTAGATAGCATTTTTGTACTCAGTGTATATCGTACCCTTGAGTTTACCCAAGGTACGATAGAACCATCCATATATATACATGGCAAAGTCTGGTTAATGCATGGTCTAAATAACAAAATTGAACGGGTGTCGCCTGAACCATAAAAATCTGGGTATATATATAATGGGTCGGACCGATGTATTTCTGGAGTATAGTACTCAGAGTACTCCTAGTGAAATATCTCAATATAGAGTATGAATTAAACAGAGTTTGGAGTATGATACTATACTCTAACCTATAATAGATAAACCCTAGGCCGCGATTCTCTAAACCCAAATCCGAAATTAAATTTAATAGAAAATACTAATTGATCGAAGCTATTTGAAGTACATCTAACGACCAGATCACCTGTAGTATACTATACTCCTATCTTTACCTTAGTAACGTCTATTCTACTCCAGACAAAGGCTAGTGTATGTCGTACACCAGACAATCTCCATCATCTACGTCCATCGGAATCCCTCACCACTCCTAGTTCGGCTACGTTATTCCAAAGTTTATAGACGCCCTATGGTGGCTTCAACTACTGTTTTCAATCCTCCGATGTGCAATGCAAATCTGGATTATACTTCCACGACACCTCAAGGAAATCATCTGTGGCTAAGGGTTTCCTCCTTTTCCAACTCGCGATCTTCATTTCCGAATCAGTCTCGGTGATGACTGAGGACAATACGCCCACGGAGCAAAGGGAGCTGGGCTCGAATAATAGATTCTAAGATAAGGGAGTTGCTTCGGAAAATTGGTAAAAAAAACGCTAAAAAAATAAAGAAGTGATAAAGTATAAACTCGGGAGTCGGGAGGGCGTTAACGGCGGGAGGTTTGGTATGGGCTGCAGTGTACAGTGCGGGCCCAAGTATTGTGATTCGCAGTTTCTTCTCTCGTGGGCTGGAAAGCTGATTTGAGCTTGGTGTGATAAAACGCACAGCAGCGATTAAAAGAGGTGAAATGTCCGAACAACCCTTCCGTGAATGGCTCTGGAGCCAGCATTTTCGAATCCAAGCAAAATGGAGTGGTGAATCTGCTTCATATATTTTATAGATTCCAAGTCTCGATTCCCAACACCTGTAATTACTAATTAGCACTCGAAATCTACAACTTCCCAATAGATAACCGCCCCACTAGAATATCAAACAAACCAACCAGTGAAAAGCCAGCCTTTTTCAATTCAGTATTGCATACTTCTTCCCAGTCAAACAACAGTATTCCCCAAACAACTCTTCAAACCAAAGCTTGTCCTCCATCAATGGTACACAAGACTCAAAACCGTTACTCAAATCCAGCAGGGGAAAGAAGAAGAAAAAAATGCTCATCATTCCAACTCACGCCATCCATCCAACAGATACAAACAAAGCAAAAGCAACAGTTGAATGAATCAATGCCAAAGAGTAACGTCTAAGCACAAGCAGAAACAGATGATCACAGCTTGGAATGCATGCAAGCAAGATATCCATGATCAACCAAAACCCAAAAACTGACCAACGAAACTAACAAAAAAACAAAAAACAGATCTTCAGACATTTCAATGAACCAGTCAAAGGGGAGGGGGGAAATGCCATGATGGCATGATCTCAGCTTTCTCTGGCAGCAAGAAACCTACCAATTCCTGTCACCAAGATCACACCTTTGTGGCTAGAGTTAGACTGGTCTAATCCCCCTCACCAAATCTCTCATCACAGTTCACATAACGTACTGCATGATCTAAACCAGTCAAAACCCAAATCCTAACAGCATTATCCACTGGCAAAAACCATGACAGCATGAAAAAAAAAGATAGGGATTTGCAAGACAGAAGGGGTATACAGTTACATGGTCCATCACATTGGAAAACCAGGATGGTTGGTGGTCTTTGAGAAAACAGGGAGCATGTATAATTGGGTATGCTCTCCTTTTCTTGTGGGGAACCCATAACCATAACCAATTCAAGAACAACATCCAAAACTGCAAAAGGGCAACCAGAAAAAAGCAGAGCTCCAAATAGCAATGCTTGCTCTCGCACAAACAATGAGTCACAACACACAGGCTGGCTACTACTCCAAACAGAAGATGATATAAATGGAGCTGTGGAAAAGCAACAATGAAAAGGACAAGCATAATAAAGGAAACCAATCCCACAAGTCATTGTCGATTAGTAAATGAGACGATGACCCATTATTCCAACCAACAGGATATGAGAGCCAGAACCCATTAAACAGCTTTGTAAATAAGCAAGCAAGCATCAGATGCTGGAATCAACAGCAGGCAAGCAAACCATGAACAGTTTAATATAAGTCGAGCCATGAAAGATTGGACTGAACAAGCATGTATCCATCCCCATATATATAGAATCTGTGTATGAAAACACTTCGGAACGAGAACAGTTGAGAGTTTCACAATCCAACACAAACATATGGCTTTCTCATCAAATCCATTGCTGCTGCTGCTCTCTCTACTGCCTAAACCTAACAAAAGCTATCACCATCACATAAAGACCTTTAAGAGGCCTCTAAGAGAGCAAGAGCATCCAAAACCAGAAGAACAAACCATCGATACCAAACATCCATGAACACTAAACAGAGAGGACACAAAGTTCACCATACTAGATAATCCGAAAACATAAAAGAGAACAACGAAGCCAATCACCAACGACACAGCTCAAATAGCAGAGATCTGTTGAAATGTGAAATCGCTTCCACACCTCGCAGACCCAAAACCCTTCAGAGGATTGACAGATCAGCGACCGCCTCCACCGCCGCTGTTGGGACACTCCCTGGCGAAATGCCCACTCCCACCGCAGTTGTAGCAGCCGCCTCCACCGCCGCCGCCGCCACCACCGCCTCCATACCTGCCTCCACCGCCGCCTCCTCCACTGGGACAGTCCCTGGCCATGTGTCCAGCCTCGCCGCAAGAGAAGCACCCACCGCCGCCACCTCCACGGCCACCCCTGCCACCGCCGCCTCCATACCCACCACCACCGTACCCACCTCCACCACCATAACCTCCGCCGCCACCGTAGCCTCCACCGCCGTAGCCACCTCCTCCGCGGCCTCCCCTGCCACCGCCGCCTCCGTATCCACCGCCTCCTCCGCCGCCGCCGCTGGGGCCGCCCTGGACGGGAGCGCCGTTGGGGCCGGTCACGTCGATCGCCTTGGTGCGGCCGTCGTTGGAGCTCTCGATCTGGTACTCGACCTCCTCATTCTCCCCGAGGCTGCGGAAGCCCTCGGCCCGAATGGAGGTCTGGTGGACGAAGAGATCTTCGTCGCCGTTGTCGGGGGTGATGAACCCGTAGCCCTTCTGGTCGTTGAACCACTTCACCTTCCCGGTAAGCCGATCGCTGCTCATCTTCGCCGCCGCCGATCGCAAACTCAACAAAACAGAGAGAGAGAGGAAGAGAAATCCCTAAATCCCCAAAAATATCAGAGAAAGGGTTTTCGGTTTTTCTTCTCCTTGTGGAGAGGTTGGGAGAGAAAGAGAAGAATATAAAGGAAAAGGGTTTCGGTGCCACGTCGGCATGGTGCGAGGAAGGCGTAAATCGTGTGTGAGAGGGAATCGAATCGCCGGCTGCGGATTTTTCGATCGGACGGCGACGGATTGGGGAGGAGTTGATCTGGGCCGTCGGATTGGGAAGGCGTGGGGCCGCGTTTAGCGGGGGAGGTGGGGCCCGGGGAAGGTAAATAACCTGGTGAAAAGACAATCCTGTCCATTGAGATTTTAATATTACGGAAAAAGTTTCTTTTTTTGTTTTCTTTTTTGGGGTTTTCTCGATTTATTAAGGTTTATTATTGGGCTTTTGGACTTTTGGGGGGATTTTAATTTTATATTGTGTTTATTTTTGGATTAGGGTTTGTAGATTTTAAGGAGAGAGAGAGAGAGAAGGATGGAGGACTGGTCAAAGGGACAGTCAAAGCATCTGTACGATTGGACTCGTCAATGCAATCTGTCCTTCGTTTGGGCCTTGGAATGGAGCAAAGGGCCGAGTGGAGTTCTTTGTTCTGTTCTTATCCCAAAAGGCTTTATTCGAAAAAAGAAAAAGAAAAATTCGAAGGTCACTAGTTCATGAGAATTTTTTTTGCTCAAATTGGTGGATATGTTCATTATAATTGAATAGATGGGTATTGTTTTCATGTAATTTTAATCCTCAAATTGGTTGATGAATTGGAGTTTATAACAACAGTTCTAAAAATATTGAGTTTGATACGATGCATCTAATTATTCATTATCCGGTCTATCACTCGTTTTTATCTAACTTTATTTAGTAGTGTGATTTGTCAATAGTTTGATTGCAGTTGACATTGTGATATACTATAAGATGTCACGTTAGTTTGGTCAAGTTGTAAGTTTTTGAAAAAAACATATTTTTGTTCGAGTTTGTAGATAGTTTGTAGTTTAATTGGCAAACTATTATAAATACTTATTAATATATGAGGTCGGAGAATATGACTTTTAGCAGAATTGTATAAAATATTAAAAAGGGAAGAATTATTATTCTCACTTATCAGGCTTTTGCAAAAAAAAATTAATATTTGAATAGAATAATGATTTTTGGAAATTTTAGTTAATTACCAATTATCGTTTAGAGTTTAGTGATAATATTATGGAGATTAATTGAATTCAGTGTGATGTTAATTTAGGGAGAGTATCAAAATCGAATATCTTCATATAATTATCCATAAAATTTTACCAAAACGAAATTTCCATCACAGGATACACAAATTACATGGCCATTTTCTTATAACTTAGAGCAAATCCCATCTGATATTCACGCACAGGATCATATACCATTTACCGTGTTCATATTTGGTATGAAAAATCATTTTTTCCCCCCAATTTGAAATTAATGAAAGTAATATTTTTCTTAAAATATGGAAATTGAACTTAACGGCAAGATATAATTGTTCAATGGCCGAGGAAGAGGAATTGGGCTCAAAAAATTTGGTCAAACTGTACTAGTCGGTTTGGACGACAGCAGAGGGGGAAAAAGCCCAAAAAGCTGCAAACTCCAATGGGCAGGGGGCCTGGCACTGGACCCTCCAAAAAACTGCTAATTCCCCCAAATTCATAATTCTGATTATCTTTTTCTCTATTGAGGGAACACTAGATTAGATTGGAACTAAAAACATGATGTTATTAATACCGGAATAAATTATTAACTAGCCTAAATATTTTAACAAAATGTTCCCTAAATTATGTAATTCACAACAAAGACAATCATGTCGTCTCCACTCGACTATTTTTTTTTTTAGCATGTCGAATTAAAACTCTTAAGATTACCAAAACCACTTAAGCAGCATCTCATGCATCCGCTCAATTGAACCTTGACCTGAACACTTGATTCCCCACCAGGCCACCACACCAGCAAACCCACACGAGCCCCATTGTTGATCCAATCCAGCTAGCCAGCACATCCTCGTGATGCAATGACTTGAATTGGACAGTAGAGTCGGAGGGAGAGATCGCGTTGTTTTCACTAACATACTAATGAAGGCGCTCAAATACGAGATTTGTGCGAACGGTCATGCGTGATGGATGAAACTTGTAAAATTCACATGCTAGTAAAACCAAAATGCATAAAAAAAATAGTTGATCACTGTGACTCGAGTTGTTTGAAGATGTTCGATACTGGATCTTATACCCCATACTAACACGTCCCCTCCCTCAAACGAAAGCTTACTCATATTGGCTTGAAGTACGCACAGTCATCAAACGCCATGTACTTATCAATGGGGATCTACGGGATTCGAACAGAAAACCGATCGGTCACAGAAAACTCTGATATCACTGTCAAACTCCGGTTGATACCAACGATTTGAGTTGTTGCAACTTAAAAGAGGTTCAATAATTCATCTTATACCACACCTATGTACTATCTTTTGCTGGGCCATTGTTACTGGTGTTCTTGGTATTGAATGCAGGACAACCAACACACAACAACAACAAGAGCAGGGAGAAAAGGAAGTTGTAGGATAGGAACTAGAAGAAAGGTACAAAGTAATGGTGGTAGGAGAGGACCACAAACAAAGGGCAAATAATTGAAGGTGGTGGTGGTGTTTTTTTTCCAGAAATGGCTAAAGGAATAGGATGCAACAACAGAATGCTAGTTACATAGTTGACCACTTTAGATGATAATTTGGTTTGTTTACCTAAGAAACTAGCAGATAGAAAAATTGCAGTCTCTCTCATTTATGGCTCTGTGGGCACACAGCTGTTCTTGGTACTTCTGATTCAATCAATTTTTCCATCCGTGGCCATGACCTAGCTAGCTAGCTAGGTGCCCTCTCCAATCTCATTCATTGCTTCTCAACAACCCAATGAGGTTACAGTCTCCAGCCTAGGTCGACTCCACCACGGTAAAATTGGTGAGCATAGTTATTTATTCAGCCGTGGCCGTGACCCAGTAACCAGGTGTACCGAAAAGTTACTGGTAGGGTATTTTATGTTAAAACCGTAGTTTGATCGTTTCATGTCGCTAAGTACTGCCTACCGGTTTAACCTCAGTAGAAAGTTTTTTCAGTTAGTAGTTTCGGACTGTATAGTACTATGTTATCATAAAGACGAATAACATTCCTAAATTATCAAAAAATTCGAAACAAACATATTTCCAAATCTCAAACCGAATTAAACCGAACCGAAACCGAATTAATGCTATTTAGTTCGGAATTCGGAAGGAAAATATGGATAGTTCGGAAATCGGGGTTCTTTCAACCGAACCGAATTTCCGACCGAAAAACGGGAATACTATAATTGCAAGCTCCAAATGGTGGATTTTTATGTTTTTAGTTGTTTTTAGACTTAAATATTTGAAATGTTTTATGACTTATGTGTTGAAAAGTTTGGTTTTATCATTGATGATGCATATAATTGATATTAATTGTTTATATTAGGGCTGAAAAATAATTTAAAAGTGAGAAAATACAAGTAGCTTCACAAATTTGGTTTTGTGTGAAAAACCGAACCGAATTATAGTTTGGTTTAAACCGACCGAACCGAATTATAATTCGGTTCGAATTCGGTTTGAGATTTGGGAGAATTCGGGGACCCGGTATTCATAATTTTGGTTCGGTCGAAACCGAACCGACCGAATACCCACCCCTACTACAAAGTATCCATATTGTTAGAACTATATTATGAAAAAACAGTAATACCGTCAATAAATTATCCATATTGTTAAGGCTCGACACAAACGACGACGTAGTTTTGATTTCTGGATACAGGTCCAACGGAAAGCTACTTGGGTTTTAGCAAACTCAAATCTAAAAGCGAGTCAAAGGCCACATCCAACATAAAATCCATCAATCGTTCAACACTGAATTTTATCCGACTTGACAGGGCAAATCGGGTTTGGATACCCATAAGTCCGGATTGAATTGCTATCCCGGTTAGCTCCCGTCCCAGACCCAGTTAGCCGCAGCCCGCAGTCGCTAAAAATTATATGCTTGACTGCCCATTCTTAGTACAGATTACTACAAATGCATAAGTAATTGAAGTTTTTTGTTGGGCCTACCCAAGCCCATCCTTGGCGGTCGATTGTCTCAATTCATCAAAAGGGCAGATCGGCCTGTTTTCGAAACCAAAATAAAGCCCATAAGTTAGTGAAACAGACAAATGGGCTCTCAAAGCCGTGATGGCGGATGGATTGGCGTAAGGAGAGGTCGGCTTCCTCAGGGTCGCAGTGGGTCAATATGCACCCGTTACCACTCAAGTATAGCAAATGTTACATACTAACTACTTAATTTTTTTTTGTTGCAACAAATACTAATACACATAATTATACTAATTAGTTATTTTCTAATAACTTACGGTTTAGGTATTCTAGGGAGGAAACTCTTATCCTTTTAATCATTAACAATAGGGAGGTATGCATCAATTTTATTTTAGCTTAGGTTTATACAAAATATTACAATGTTTACAAAAATTTGAATCAATCACTTAATGACCAGATCAAGGATCACTACCCCACGTATCATTCTTAATCAAGGGTAAGAGTGCCCTTTAGCACTATGATTTTCACACAAAACAAAAAGGACTAGATCAAGGAGAGCACCTCGACATATTGTCGAGTTCCTTGAATTAAGATAAACAAAAATTATCCACTGATAAAAACATCTTCAATAATAAATTCTATGACATATTAAGTCAATGGTCAATAAGCATTGATTGATTGAGGGTTACTCCGAATTTTAAGAATCACAATTTAATATATATTGTATAAGATAATAAATTCCAGTATTGTGTTTGAGAAATTGTTTCATAACTTAGTTACTCGGGATTTTGAGAATCTTCGATTAACAGATATTGTATAAAGATAATAAATACTAATATTATGATTGAGAATTGTATCATAACGTATTACGTTTAGAGTTTATAAACCTACACCGTGACTAGACTAGATAATTGAACACTCTTTAATGGGTAATATGATATATGCTGAACATTTTCAACATAAACCTATAATAGAAATAACAAAATCAATAATAAATTGATTAAACCTATTAACTCAACAATATATATTTCTTCCATTAATTATTAAGAAAATATTGATTGTAGGTTGAGTACTTTTTATGGAATACAACTATATAATAGGCAAATGTTTGATGTTAAACAAATAAATAATAAAATCTTCCAAAAAATAATATAACGGCCAAATCTTTAACTTTCTATCGGGTCAAATAACAGTTGACTCTGAAGTAGTCAATTCGTGCTGAAATGGGAAAAAGTCAATTGTTTGTCAACCTCAGGTGGATATATATTCATTTTAATTAATCATTATTGTTCAATAAAATAAAAGCATATACAACCACATTTTCTCAACCACATTTTCAGGCAATGCAACAAGCATCTCGATGAAATAAATTACTTTTTTTTGGTAGAAGGATAGACGCAAATTATGTCCTAGATCATATTAATAAGAAACTCTTTGTTGAGTAATACCCATAACATCATAGGAGATCCACAATCTAAACTCTGGGTAGCATACATCAAATTGATGTGTGCCAAAAGGAAAGTCATGACCCTTTCTAGCAAGAAAATTAGCAGCAAAATTTCCCTCTCTAAAAACATGGCTGATCTTCACCTCCCAATCAAGGTTCAAAAGTCTATTAATTTCCAATGCGAGCAATCCATGTCGATGGTTACTTTCCTCGCTATTGTTGATAATGGCAATAACTGTATTGGAGTCCAGGTTAAGCATAACCTTTTTGTATATTTTTAAGCACAAGCTTTGAAGGAAATTACTTGAAAGCAATGACAACAACCTCCCCCAAATTAGCTCTAGGTTAAAGCCACTACTTGGACAAGCTTGATTGAGTGAATTGAAATTCGAATTGAGCAGATTTTTTATATCTTCCGTCACAAACAGAGACGATAGGACCGAGAGAAGCTGCTGTTGCAATGACGTCAGCGAACTAGAGTATTCCATATGTTGACATGAAATAGAGGGTTCCTTTGAATCGACCAAAGCAGCGAGAGAAAGTAGCCAAAAACTAAACTTACTCAAATGTTCAAATGTGTGACAACATAATGAAAATGAAATGTGGTTTGATTAGGTGTTTTAGAAGTCTAGTTTCCTTATTAGAGTCCTAAAGTTTTTAATTTCAATAAAGACTTTCATAGCTGACTCGATTTTATTATTGGAGAACTCTATGTTACGCTAATTTTTCCAGTAATTAGTCTCAGATAATAAAATATTTTACTTTGTTGATATTTTTATTTATTCATACTACTTAAGTAAACATGAAAAGAATGTAACTTTGGGAGATATATATTAATAATCATAAACAATAATCTTAATAAAAATTTTAAATTTTAATAATTATCATTATCAAATTCCAATTGGTCAATGAGGCCGGACAATATTATATGAAGTCTAAAATAAATTTCGCAATTATTTGTAAAATAAAGTGTAGCAAGATAAATTTTGTAGGAGTTGGCTTATTTGCGTGATCACTTTTTATTTTCAGATTATTGGATGACTCAGTTAGAATGTTGAATTATTTTTAGATAAATGTTCATTTCCTATATTTCAGTAATTTAAAAAGTGAATTTTACATGTACTATTAAAAATGTATATTAATTCACACAATTGTTATTATTTATATCATTAACGAAATGCATCCGACAAACGGGCGGACCCAAATAAAGTCACAATAACGATTCATATATAATAGTATCATATAGCCACAAGTCGATCCACAACCATTTATCACCATTGAATCTTCGATCAACTTCAACGGGAATAGCCCAATTACAAAGCACAAGAGAGGACGAATTCCTTATGGTAAATAGAGAGATACGTGATAAGGAAACAACGTAAGGAGTTGGATTGCTCGTCAACAACCACTTCTTGACCCGTCTCCATCAAAACCCACGGTACTAACTATACACAGAAATTACCATAACCCTCAAACTGATTAACACTTAGCAGAAATCGTGCAACAAACCATAGTACATGAAACTGTACCGTACTGACGGTTCAACCATAAAATATCCATATTGGAGGCTAAACCTGTAGGCGGTACTTGACTGTACTAATAATTGAACTACAAGTAAACCACGATTTTACCATAAAATAACCTACCGCTTACTTTTCCGATACTGTTTTATTGGCCACAACCCATTTTCCAGTTTCCCAAGTTATAAATCACTATCCTATTGCTACTAACGTTAGCGTACGTATATATATGGAGCAGTAGCTATCCAGCTAGCTAGCTAGCTATAGCTAGTGGGCAAAATTACTTCCCTACATGAAATCAGTTGTTTGTTTCTTTCGATCTCTTCATGTAATATATACATAATGTTTCACCAACATCTCAGTTGGTTGTTAAATCAATCCGTTGATTCAGAAGTACGTGTAGTTTTAGCTTAAACCCTAAACCAACAAGCAACCTGGAATCACGTTTGGAGTTATTATGGATTCGACAAGGATATGTTTCTATACAGAGTGGACAATCGGCTCTCCTTAAGTCTTCTCTTTTGTCGCGGCTTTTGTTAGGAGCAAGGCCACACCGTATAAAGAAAGTGGTTAATATTCAAATTCGAACTTCTCGTAATAAATCGAGTTATTGTGATCTGTTGGTTCATGAGACGATATCAGCATCTTTCGAGAGGGAGTCCGACTACCAATCATCAATAGGCTAATAATTAAGAGACATAACAACAATAAGTCGCGGGTAGCTTTTACAGCAGGCTGTAGCTAGCTACTCAAATGGTCTTATTTTGACTAGGCTTCGGTAGGGAAAGAAAGAATTTCTTAGTAGATGGCAGACATATTGATCTCGACCATAAGTTGGTTTGTCCCAGTGTTTTAGAAAAAAATGTATCCTATCTTCAGGTCGACGGGAAATACCGAGTACTGGACGCCAAACCGGTATGCGGTTTCGGCGATATGAAACGGTTGAACCACGGTTAAACCGCAACTTTAGTATTATATGGTCCACCACTAACACTTTCAGTATAAAATTCGGTACGAGTTCACAATTTATGGTTTATCCTTGAGGACATGTGTTTAAGTTATCTCACAACTCCAAATATTACCCGTTTGTCTTAAACCACATTGTATGACGGGTCTATGCAAACAAAAAGCCCATAAATTGACATTTGTATGAGGGAGTGTCGAGCGTATAAGAAAGTGGTTAAGATATATAAATAAATTTCTCCCAACAATTCGAGACGTACTGCACACTATGTTGGCGAGTTGTGGCTGCATGGTTGCCATAATTGGCAGGACTTGGCCGAAACTGGACCTGGTTGAGTAAAGACTCTCCAAAGGCTTGTAAACTGGAAAGGAACAAAACCAATCACGACGGATTGGTTTGCTTTTCACCTTGTGTTTACACCTAAAAAATAATCCTGTACCACATTGATTATTTACAAGGCATTTATTATCTTTATAAGGCCAGATTATTAATGACAATTAATGTTATTTAAACTGGGCCTCATGATAATAATTTTAAGCCCCAAACTACTAAGTCTCCAAGAAGGAGCTAGTCTCGTCGTGAGTTGAAGAGCCCGACGTGGTCATGAGATCTAGACCACGTTGGCTTCAAACTTAGAGCTCTACGTGGTCGCGAGATCTAGACCACATCGTGAGACCATGTCCAAGATATGAGCTAACAAGCTGGAAGTAAGAAGGCAAGTCATGTGGGAGAGGCAAGTAACAAGACGACAGTTACAGGATGAAGAGCAGGCGGTTAACGGAGAAACTGCCGAGTATCCCACGTGCAATGACACGTCAGCCACGTCCGAGAAAGAAGGAGAGCAGTTCTTTTTGGAAGTTACTCTCAGACAGTTTCTACGACGGTTATCATCTCAAGGCCTATAAATAGGAGGAGGAGTTGACAGAGGAAGAGGTCGCCAAATTCACACCAAACAACACTATGTCAAATTTTATCCCTTTATCCTTTCCTCTGCAATTTTAGCCGTAGTCGTAGATCTGGAGCTCTCACTGAACCTCCATAGGAGTAGGAGTAACTTAATGTAGATCTGTCTCGAGAGTCGTGTAAACATCGATCACCCTCGTTCGAACTGTGTTTGAAGAGGTGTGAGCCGTGTCTTAGTAATCGTTGTCCAAAGAAGTCAAGGTGCAATCAATATCAATTCAACGCAAGTTTTCTCGCCGGAGAACAAATTTGGCACACCTGGTGGGACACTTGTGTTTGATTTGATGGCTCCAAGACAGAGACAACAAGAAGGTGATCTCTCACCTGGGCTTGTGAAGAAGCACGTGGCTAAATTTGAATTTGGCCAAGAGATGAAAGATGTTGCCGTAAACAATGGCATGGTGGAGACTTCGTCACCGGCGGCACCAAGTGTTGATATAACCACCAACATCATGTTACTTCACAAGATAATGGAGGAAGACCGCAAGATGATGGCGGAGAACCGTCAAGCCTTGGAGGAAAACTACAAGATGATGATGGAGAACCATCAAGCCTTGGAGGAGAACCGCATGTTGAGGGCGGAGAACGTCCGAGCCATGGAGGAACATCGTCATTCCTTGGAGGGATGCCTAGTCAGCCTTGATCGTGGTACCCAACAAGTAAGCCTCCGCCTAGAATCTCTCACTTCTCATCTAGATAATCGTGTAAGTCAACTTATAGAGTTGGTTAACAAAAATAATGACGATTTCAATGATTTGAAAAACCTTTTGATAAAACAAGTGGTTCAATCAAGAGATTTGCCACTAGATGGTACAAACTCTTCTACTAATGACCAGAGTGGCCAACTATGGCAGAAGAGCTTGTCACCTCCAGTGGCAAGCAAACCACTCCCTCAATGTGAGAGTTGTGGTGAGAGGTCCACCTCCACTCTAAACACTAGTCATGGGGTCTTGCATGTACAAGGTGATGTTCAACCACTCGTTCTCGAGACAAGATCAGATGAGACACTTGTCAATGGACGAGATGGTGAAGATCCATTAAACGTGGAACAAGTACCACCACATGCTTGCCCACCCCCAAAGTCACCCCTATTGAGTGGACAAAGAGGCGATTCTGATGGACTCAACACACTTAGAGCTCAGCAAGGGGGGCATGAAAGTCTAACTTCCCACAAGTTGACGCCGAGATGTCCATCTAGGGGGCATGTGGTGTCTAAGAGGTCACATCAATCACAAGCAACACATGCTTGTGCTAAACATATTAATTTGGCTAAGTCTGGAAAGGGGAGCATGCCTCCAACCACTTGCAGTAGACATGGGAGCATATCTAACAAGTCACGACGTGAGAAAGCCATAAAAAGTTATTGTAGATTTGAAAATTTGGCTAAGTATGGACAAGACATGTCCAAGAAGCCATATGAAGTGCAAGTCACACACGTTTGCCATAACCATGCTAATTTGACTAAGTCTGGACAAGGGAGCATTTCACCTACCATGAAGAATGGAGTAGAGAGCATCTCCAAGAAGACACAAGAAGTCAAACCCCCACACGGATTTTGTAAGCGTGAGATTATGGATAAGGGTGGATTGGGGGGCAAGTCCATGTCAATGAATAGTAAGTACTCGACACCAACCACAAAGAGTGGACATGGGGGCATGTATAAGAAGTCACCATACACACCAGCCAAACATGGTTGCACCAAGAATCAATGGTGGTTGAGTGCTAAGTGTAGGGGCCAACAAGGTTTAGATGTTGAAAGACGAAGACAAGGAAGCTACACGAGTGGTTGTCGACTTGTCAAGTCTAGACTTGGTCCCCAACATTGTGAGGAGATTAAGCATGTATCAAGTGGGAGGAAATCAAGGCAGAATAATAATTATGATAGCCTTGACATCTCAAGTAAGATGGCCCAAGCAAAGAAGCATGAGACCTCATGCAAGGCCACCAAGACTAGACATGCTGACCATGTACCACCCATTACTAAGCTAGAAAATTCAAAGTTAATGTATGAAGATTTATCTCCCATGGAGGAAAAGAGTCATGTGGTCTATGGATGGCATGTCTGGTTTGATCCATGGACTTGGCAATGGGTTTACACCTTCTGTACATTGATTGTTGCCAAAGGCTATGGAGAGCAGTGACATTTGTCACTTCTTGCCATATAAAATAAATAAATTTATATAATGTACTTATTATATATTAGTTATAAAAAAATATTGTAGCCAAACGTGGCTAAAAGAAAAGATAGAAGGAAAATATCAAAGTGAAAATCTTGAGTTGGAGTTGTTAGACTTCGACATGAAGATCTTGCCACCAAGTCGTTGTAATGGCTTGACATGACGAGCCATACATCAGGCCATGCCATGCCATCTTATCTTGTCCCGAGTAGTCACGGCCTGGGGGGCATGATGGCTTGAAACGTGGTAGTAGAGGAGTGGTGACCAGAATGTCTCTACCAACATAAAAATGAACATTAGTTTGTCTAAGGCAAAAAATTAGACGACTTGACTTGTCGCGAGGAAGCTGTCTAGCCTTGTGATGAGGTGAGATGAGCCAATCTATGCCAAAATAGGTGCGAAAAATTCTAAGTTATTCTCTCAACCATGTGGCAAAGTACGAAATGTCAATGAGGGTGTAGGTGCTAAAGTGAGGTTGGTGTCTCGTTGAATGCATTAGGTGGCTTGACCATTAAAAGCCGAAATTTGGCTAAGGCATGGGACAAGTTGTTGACGTCAAGTTCTATCCGGCCATGTTGGCATGATCATTAAAAGTCAAAATTTGGCTAAGGCATGGAACAAGTTTTGACGTCAATTTCCATCTCGCCATGTTGGCTTGACGTGAAAAACCAAAATTTGGCTAAGGCAAGGGCTAAACTTTGACGTCGAGTACCATCTCGCCATGTTCGCTTAACGTGATAGTCAAAATTTAACTAAGTCATGTGACAAGTTATGACGACGAGTTCCATCTAGACGTGTTGGCTTGATTATTGAAAGTCAAAATTTTGGCGAAGTAGAATTGGTGTGTTGATAAGCCAACACGTTACTTAGCTAGCTTGGTGGTGTTCAACTACTTAGTCCATAATTCTTATGCACTAAGTAGTTGGGGGGCATTTGTTTACACCTAAAAAATAATCCTGTACCACATTGATTATTTACAAGGCATTTATTATCTTTATAAGGCCAGATTATTAATGACAATTAATGTTATTTAAACTGGGCCTCATGATAATAATTTTAAGCCCCAAACTACTAAGTCTCCAAGAAGGAGCTAGTCTCGTCGTGAGTTGAAGAGCCCGACGTGGTCATGAGATCTAGACCACGTTGGCTTCAAACTTAGAGCTCTACGTGGTCGCGAGATCTAGACCACATCGTGAGACCATGTCCAAGATATGAGCTAACAAGCTGGAAGTAAGAAGGCAAGTCATGTGGGAGAGGCAAGTAACAAGACGACAGTTACAGGATGAAGAGCAGGCGGTTAACGGAGAAACTGCCGAGTATCCCACGTGCAATGACACGTCAGCCACGTCCGAGAAAGAAGGAGAGCAGTTCTTTTTGGAAGTTACTCTCAGACAGTTTCTACGACGGTTATCATCTCAAGGCCTATAAATAGGAGGAGGAGTTGACAGAGGAAGAGGTCGCCAAATTCACACCAAACAACACTATGTCAAATTTTATCCCTTTATCCTTTCCTCTGCAATTTTAGCCGTAGTCGTAGATCTGGAGCTCTCACTGAACCTCCATAGGAGTAGGAGTAACTTAATGTAGATCTGTCTCGAGAGTCGTGTAAACATCGATCACCCTCGTTCGAACTGTGTTTGAAGAGGTGTGAGTCGTGTCTTAGTAATCGTTGTCCAAAGAAGTCAAGGTGCAATCAATATCAATTCAACGCAAGTTTTCTCGCCGGAGAACACCTTGGTAAGTAATTAATCTGCAGGTGGGCTTATAATTTCCCCGTTTTGAAAGCTGAAAAATCAACTACCATTTGTAAGGTTGGATCTCTTTGGAAAAATCCATCATGATATGCAGCTTCTCTTCACTTATTAAGAAAAAAAGGAAATCTTTATTAAAAGAGTGATATAATTTGTCTACAAAGTCAACTCAAAATGTGGGGAAAGGAACTAAAATAATGTCGGAATTAGGGTGACTATTTGGTTCGGGTTTTTTGGTTTTACTCAAAATCGGATTGTATAATTTGGACCGGGACCGAATAGTAAACAATCTAATCATGTATTCGGGTTTAGATTTGAGGTAAAAAACTATTCGGGATCGGATCGGAAACCGGATAAAGACCGGATAAGAGAGCCCAACACCCAAAACCTAACCAACTTCTCACCCTTTCAGGCCTCAGCCCACTTAAACCCCCACAAGCTCAATCTAAAATCAAGATCGGATTGAGACTGGACCGAGTCAAGATCGGACTGTTCCGTCTTTGGTACTCATATTTATGAAAAGACCAGACTCGAATTGGGTCAATTCGGTCCAATTTAACCAGACCGGACTGGACCGTATAGCTAGCCAACCATAGTGAGAAGTTATGATATAGAATCTCATTTAGTCATGTTTGAGTGGAGTTTGATTCTCTTTGTGCACTTCAACTCCTTCAGAAACAGGGACGGATAAAACCATCATCCAGAGATTCAAAGAGTTGCTCACTCGTCATTGGGAAGTTCGTCTTTCCCATATCTTCCGAGAGGGTAAAAAGTGTGCATATCACTTACTATTCGCCAGCATTTGTTGCTGATTGGTTCTCATAGTGTATCGAATTCATATCCTACTTTGTATCACTACATTGTGTATTATTTGCTTTCCAAATCTCAGTTGATTTTGAATAAAAGCTAAGATGCATTACATCCATTAAAATAAATGATCGTAACCCTCAAACCAAGTAACACTTAGGAGAAACCTGTAATAAGCCCATTTTCAGTTTCCCCAAGCAAATCACTATTCTACCACTATTAATCTTAATGCAAGTGATTAAATATCGTACATGAACATCTCACTACAACTAGAGTTACCGAGACTAAGTTGATTTATATAGCATGATATCATAACTTATGTCTCTTTAAGGTCACCCTTTCGATGAATCGGTACAAATTTCAAAATCATAAATTAATTTTTCAGACGTATGAGGAACTGGTTAATAAGTGCCGTATAACTTACGTACTAATTCCACATGCACCAGCTCCCATTTTACAGTAGCTAGCTAGTGGGCAAAACCTTCCCTACATGAAATCAGTTGTTTCTTTCGAGCGCTTATGTGTATATATATATACACACCGTCGTTTCACCAACATCTCAGTCGGTTGTTGAATCAATCCGTGCATGGATTCAAAAGTACGTGTAGTTTTAGCTTAAACCCTAAACCAACAAGCAACCTGAAACCACGTTTGGAGTTATATGCATACGATAATGATGTATCTATATAGAGTGTTCTCTTTTGTCGCGGCTCAAACGATTAGAATACATATACGAATCTCTCCCACTAATTCGATTTACTCAAATCACTTGGTTTATGACACGATATCATATCTTATTTGTCCCGAGGGTCACGTGTTCAAGTCCTCACGCGACAGTCAATATTAACCGTTCTTGTATTAAAATACACGGTATGACGGATCTGTGCAAATCACAAAACTACATGGATCTTTCCGAACAATTCAACCGATCGAGTGAGACCAATTGATTCGTGACAGTTACGTTACTGGGAGATTTTGGTGAGTTGGTGGCTGCATCTGCGTGCTTTGCCGTAATTGGCAGAACTTGGCCGAAACTCGAGCTGGTTGAGTAAAGCTTCTCCAAAGGCTTATAAACTGGAAAGGAACAAAACCCAAGTTAGTTTGGTTTTCACCTTGGTAATTAACCAATCTGAAGGTGAGCTTATAATTTTCCCCAGTTCTGAAAGCTGAAAAATCAACCACAATTTGTTAGGTTGGATTTCTTGGGAAAAAATCATCATTATATATGCACATTTTCTTCACTAATTAAGAAAAAAGGAATCTTGTATTAAAAGACTGATCTAATTTGTCAAGGAAGTCAACTCAAAATCATTAGTTCGTACAAACTTCAGGGGAGAAAGATCATTATAACTCAAAATTTGCTGACCAATATGATAGTTTGGCATAAAACACAAAACAACATTCTCCCCCTCAATTTTCTTTCCCTCCTTTCCCCCCAAATTCAAAAACTTCAGAGAAAACCAGACCATACCACATATATGTTAAAGCTTGAGGAAGTTCGTCATCTATTGAAAACAAAGTTCATAAGAACAAAGAATCCTCACTACAATAGTACACCAAACCCATCCCGCCGGAGGTTGGAATGATCACAGATAGATCGCTGCGGTTATATGTTCACAGATTCAACCGCAAAATCAAATGCATCATCATCTTCTTCTTCTTCATGTTGTACACTTTCTACCTTGTTGGGTTTATATGAACATAGGCAGCTAAGTAAACACAAACTCACAAAAAAGGCTAATGAACACACATCAAATCAATGGAACCCTCTTTTCCCTCTGGATTGATACAACTCCAACCTACTCTTGGATTCGGGCAACAACCCTTGAATCGTCACATTCTCCACCAAATGGGCCTGCTTCGTCGACCATTCGAGCACGATGAGCACCTCCTCGTTGGCCAGCACCTCGCTGTCCGGACAATTCATGGTAATGTAGCACAACATGATCAAGGAAGGGATCTGAATCATCTGCTCCCCGAAGTAAACCAACTGAATCAAATGCTTTGTCCCTCCCGCCGCGATCACAGCCTTGGAGTGGTTCACACACAGGAAATTCTCCGTGGAGGCGAACTTGTTCAGCGCCACTGCCGCCTCCATCATCACCTCGGGCTCCTTCTCGTCGAGCAGCTTCACCAATGGCCCCACGATCCTCGTCTCCGTGGCACGAAAAGTCCTCGCTAGGTTCCCCATGGATCGGATGCAGGGGACCAACAGGTCCGACTCTGCCATCTCGATCACTTTCAGGAGCTGGTCCACCACAGCACGAGCGGATGGTGACGTGGGCTTGAAGGCAGATCGCCTCAAGTCCGCGTGCTGCTCAGCAACCGTGGTGATCTCCATCAACGCCATGGCCGAGTACGATTGCACCTCCTCGGGCCCCTTCTCGAGCAGGATGGCGAAGCAGAGGAGTGCTCGTGACTCGGTTATGCTTCGACATATCGCCACGTTGCCTCGTGCGAGTTGCCATAGCGCTCGAGCTGCCATCGCCTTCATGTTGGCCTTGGTACTCGGATCTTCCTGCTCTCTCTTCTTGATGCTCGTCCCCGACAATTGGACGTGATGGCGTGGGCGTTGGTGGTGATGCTTGCCATTGTGATTCTTCCCTTTTCGCTTGGAGCTCTTGTTCTGGCCTCCTGCTAAGTTGGAAGAAGATGTTGATGGTGTTGTAGTCGATGGTTTTTGGTTGCTGTTGCTGTTGTTGATTGGTGGGTTGTTCTGACCTAATGTGCTAGTGACCACATTTTGCATTTGAGATGGGATTTGATTGTTCATGGGGTGCGAGATTTTCGACACTGTTAAATCCTCCTCGGGGTCTCTATCGTGAGAGTTCTGACTACTGCTAGCTACGAGGACCGAATGAATGGAGTTCTGCTTGTTCATGTTCACAATCGTGTACTTGCTGTGCTCTTGAACAGTTTCGAAGGCGAGGTGACTGACCAAGAACCGGATTATGTTGTTCTGCGCGAAATGGTCTTGGCATTTGGGGTGGTGCGCAGCTAATTCCGATACGGCCCAGGCGACGACAGACTGAACCTTCATGTGACCCTCTTTGAGGATTTTCGCAAACACATTGCAAACCCCTGCATTCACGATCTGTTCGACGCTATCCGGGTCCCGACCCAGCAACCCGATTGCTCTCGCGGCGTTTTCCTGACCTTCCATTTTCCCCTCCTTCGCCAATTTGAGCAGCGGCGGGACGCCGCCTTCCTCGATGATGAGGCGGCCGTACCGGTCGTTGTCTCTGGCGAGGGAGACGAGGGAGGCGGCGGCGTCGGATCTCTCCTCCGAGGAACCCGTGTAGAGGATGGCGATCTGCTCCCAGATGAGGCAGAGGATGGGCTCGTTGGCGGCGATGGGAGGGAGGCCGAGGTACTCGTCGTCGCGGTCGTCGGCGGAGGCGGAGACGCGGAGGAGCCAGGAGACGTCGCCGATGGAGTTCTCGAGCTGGACGGAGAGCTTGCGGAAGGCGGCGGCGGGGATGATGGTGAACATCCGCTTCATGATGCCGGTGGCGCGGCATTTGATGACAAGGGTCAGGGCCTTGTCGAGGACCTGCTCGGTGTCGTCGATGATGCGGCGGGTGGGCCGCTCGTAGAGGTCGTTGCTGGCGCGGGCGGCTTGGCGGAGGAGGGTGGCGAGTTTCTCCGTCTTGGATTTCAGCTCCTGGCAGTCTTGCTTGAAAGATTGGGCCTCGTCGGCCGCCTTCGTGACGTGGTCGGCCAATTGGATTGGCCGCGCCAGGATCTCCTTCACGATGTCCGCCATGGCCGAAAGCGGACCAGAAGAAACTCCCTTTGGGGGGAAAAAACTTCCGACGCGAGGTTCTGGACTCTCAAAATGTGGGGAATGGAGAAGGAGGAGAAAAAAAAAGGAAGACCCAAGAATTGGATTGCGGAGTATTGTAATGGGTTTCTTCTTCTTTCTTCTTTACCACCCTTGGGAGATTGGTTTCTCTGTTTCTTTTCTTCTTCTTTCTTCCTCTGTTTTCTTGTAAAAATGGTTTCCTGGGTGGTTCTTTTTTGTTTTTTTATTTAATCTATTTCCCCACCCTTTTGGGGATTTTGATCATGGAGTGGCGGCGATGGTGCGGGAGGGTGATCTCACCGCCGGCGGGGGTGAGGGGGGAGAGGATTTGGGTCAGGAGAGAGAGAGGAAATGCAGGGGAGGAGAGAGAGAGGGGGGGAAATGGGGGGTTTGAGGAATCGGAAGGGTCGGTTTTGCTCCAATTTTTACGATCAAAATTGCAAAGGCAACCGTTAGCCTTACGCTATATATAGAAGGTTTTGGTGATTTCGTTGGTCCAAACCATCATCAAAAGCATTTAGATTATCACTTTGTCATCTAGCAAAAAGGCAGCAACCCAAACGAAAAGGACACAGGGAGGCTAAAACTTTCACGATCTTTATTTTCCATAAATCTCTTGTATACAGCTACAAAAATGTGAAGTAGGCTGTCATTCATCTCATTGCCTATCTGAACTCTGTGAAATCCATAAAAGAAATGTGCAACCTTCAGAATTGAGAGGTTCACTAAAGGGAGGGGAATGAAATGTTTTCCTATCCCAGTGAAGGTGATAAGCTAATGGACTTCTAGTGGACATCCATTAATGTTGATGACAGAGCAAAACTTCTACCTTTAATCAATGGGCGATGAAGGCACATCTTCTTCTTCCTCTTCTTCTTCTTCATGGTGACCAGCTAATTGTTCTGATACAGTGAATGTGTGCAGATTGTTCTGTTGCTCTATCCAGCTAATGCCCTGTTCCTTCTTTACCTGTCTTTTTTCCATGAGTTCTCTGAATTGCTCCGCCGAATCCCATTTCCCAAGTGTAGCATGTATGCTTGATAATAGTACATAGGCTGCAGGGGATTGAGGCTCCAACTTCATAAGCTGTTCAGCAGCTGTTTTCCCCAGCTCCATATTCCCATGGATTGCACAGACACCAAGTAGAGCACTCAAAATCTGCTCGTTGGGCTCACAAGGCAATTTCTGAAGCTGGTTAATCAAATTGTCAAAATCTCCAGCCCGTCCAAGGATATCGACTAAGCAAGCATAATGCTCTTGATCTGGCACGACACCATGACTAAGGGTCATAGACTCAAAGACCCTCAGCCCTTCCTGCACAAGACCGGAATGGCTGCAAGCATGTAGGAGGATGATCAACGTTATCCTATTTGGCTTTACCCCTGAACAAATCATCTCGTCGACCATGCGAATGGCTTCCTCACCACGGCCATGCTGTGCTAGGGCAGAAAGCATTGTATTCCACAAGACAACGTCTTTCTTAACACTCGTGGCATCAAAGACCAGTCTACCAGCATCCAAACACCCACATTTTGCATACATGTCGATGAGAGAGCTCACAACAATTGCATTAGGCCTGAAATTCATGCGTGTCATATAAGCATGTACCTGTTTCCCATGCTTTAGAGAAGCTATACTAGCACAAGCACAAAGACAACTGCTAAATGTAAATTGATCTGGTCTAATGCGGAATGCCATCATTCTAGCAAACAACTGAAGAGCCCTGTGCCCTTGGCCCTGTCTGGCATACCCAGCAATCAAAGACGTCCAGGAAACAGGGTTCTTTGCAGGCATCAAATGGAAGAACTCAGTAGCCGTCTTCATGTTCCCACATTGGGCAAAACCTGAAACCATCGTTGTCCATGCCAGCACGTCCTTTACTTTCATCTCTTCAAATAAACTACTAGCGAAACCCATCTCCCCACATTTTGCATAAGCATCAAGAACTGAGCATGACACGACTACATTGGATAGAAGACCCACAACCAGAACCTGGCCATGAGCCTGCCTAGTTAACTGAATTTCCTTCAACTTCACACAAATTGTCAGCAAACCAGTAAAAGTATAGTCATTGCATCCAATCCCCGCCCTCCTCAATCCCCTATAATAATCCAAAGCCTCCGCGCATAACCCACTATTTGCATACCCAAACACCATAGTATTCCAGGACACAACGTCTTTCTCCGGCATTTTATCAAAAAGCTTCTTGGTCGGCTTTACCATGCCCATTTTAGCATACCCAGAAAGCATATGGTTCCAAGAGTAGAGATTCTTGTGTACCATTTTGTCGAACACCTTCCGGGCGCCTATATGGTCACGGCATTCGGAGTACATGTAGATCAAATGGTTGGCCAAGAGCGTGTTGGGTCGTTTCAGTCCTGTCACCTTCAAGTGGAGATGGACCCATTTCCCCAATTTCAGCGACTTCCAATCGGCGCACTTCTTGATGAGGAAAGCTAGCGTATCGCAGGGAAGGCGAATTCCTTTGCGGGTCAATTGCTCAAGCGAAGAGACTGCTTCCCGGAGCTGGCCGTTTGAAGACTGGCGCAGAATGGCGCGGGCTATGCAGGAGATGTCCGGGCGTGATTTGGAGGGAGAAGCCACGGTTTTGGATGCGGAAGAGGCGGCAGTGAAGCCAATTCCTTTGCTTTGCCGGTTCTAGAGATCACGAGCTCAGACTGCTAGCGGGAAGCAAAAACCTACATCTTTTGAATCGAACAATTGCACTTCTCGAGACATCACGGAAAACCCAGAATTTCGTCCCAATGGCAGAGCTACCGCCATTACAAGTAACGAGGGAACATAGAAGGTCGGCTATGGAATGTGGAGTGTGTAGAACAGAAACCCAGAAGCGCTAATCTCGTCCTTCGTCGCTGAAGTTTCCACTAGCCGGCCAAGGTGAAGTGAATAACTCGGCGGCTATATACTATATGGAATCCACCAGCGGCGGGCAGTACTGCACTGCCTTATGCAGCTTTGCTGCTCGGAGGCGGCGGGAAAGGCAGCGACCGGAGAGTGGCTTCCGACGGCGACGGGGAGGGATAGATTTGAGTGAGAAATCTCTTTCCGGCTTTGCGGTTCCGCTTCCCGATCCCTAAACTCTGTTCATCTGCTTTAGAAATTACCAAACTACCACCAAAAAAGGTTAGCTTTAACTAGCTCTTATTAAATAAATTACATAAAATCATCATTATTGACATCAAGGGTCCATAGCTCAGTGGTAGAGCAATTGACTGCAGATCAATAGGTCACCGGTTCGAACCCGGTTGGGCCCTTTTCTTTGAGTTGTAATTTTATTTTTTCATCCTCTGTTGTTAACCGCGACTTTGAACAACGGGCCGAAGTTGGGCTCTGGCCTTTCTTCTCTCAACGGGACCGACACTTTAAATAATGGGCCGTTATTTTGTTTGACCTTTCTTAACTCACAGGCCTGGGCTTTCGTCTCTTGCCTCATCTTATTACGTTGTCTCTTTGGGCTTTTCACTTAACCCTTAGGGCTGTGTGAGTGTGATTCTGTCCACCATTGCACACAAAAAATTGTTGAATGAATGGACAAGAAAAAGAGCTCCTATTATTTGTTTTTAGGCTAAATTACATGATTGATCAGTAAAATTATACAAATATTTCACGTTTGTCATTCTAATCACTTTCCTTTTTTATTAGCCATTAATTTTACGAATCATTGCATCGTTAGTTACTGGCCGTCTATCTCCGTTAGACTCCGTTAATTTTTTGATGACGTGGCAAACGAAACTATTGACAAATTTCAGCAACACACGGGTAGTGTGGATGTTGTGGTGTAACAGTTATTAGGGATCTCCTACAGTAACTTGGGTATAATTTTAAGTTAGGTAACTTGCATAGATCTAAACCGTTAAAATCGATCAAATTTATTTTAAACCATTGATTAAAGAAATAAAAAATAAAAAATAAGTAAAAAAAATCAATGGCAACATGGGTTGCCGGTGGCCACAAAGCAAGTTACCTTTCTTGTTTTTTTTCCTTTCCTTTTTCATATTTATTTGTTTTTTCTTATTTTATCCTTTCCTTATTTTAATTCTGATTAAAGTAGAAGCGTTACGAAAGGCTTCCGTAATAACTTAGCACTTTACGTAACGTGAGATTAATACTCATTACGTAAAGAGACCTTCCATTACGTAAAGGTTACGGAACGATAGTTATTTCTTACGTAACAGTGAAATCGAAAGCGTTACGTAAAGCTTCCGTAATCATTTAGCTTTTTACGTAACACGACATTAATACTCATTACGTAAAGAGACCTTCAATTACGTAAGGCTTCCGCAATGACATTTTACAACTGTTACGTAAAATACACATTCATTACGTAAAGCTTACGTAATGACTTAACATTTTACGTAACACGAGGTTAATACTCATTACGTAAAAAGACCTTTCATTACGTAAAGGTTACGGAACGACAGTTATTTCTTACGTAAAAGTTAAATCAGTAGGTTACGTAAGGCTTCCGTAATGACTTAGCATTTTACGTAACGCGAGATTAATACTCATTACGTAAAGACACATTATATTACGTAAGACTTCCGTAATGATCTTTTACAACTGTTACGTAAGATTACCATATGTTACGTAACCGTTACGTAATACCTATTATATTTTACGTAATGCGACCTGTGAAACCTCCTATAGCAGGTAAAAAAATTCAAGTTACCTTACTTCAAGTTATTGTAGGAAATCCCCAGTTATTATTAATATTTTCAAGAGTAATTCATGTGAAATCATCCAAATAATTAAGAGTGGAGAGGATTAATCTCACATAACTTACATAGAACTCCTCTGTTCCGTGCTAATAAAATTATAGGGATTTCCTACAATAACTTGAAGTAAGGTAACTTGAATTTTTTTACCTGCTATAGGAGGTTTCACAGGTCGCATTACGTAAAATATAATAGGTATTACGTAACGGTTACGTAACATATGGTAATCTTACGTAACAGTTGTAAAAGATCATTACGGAAGTCTTACGTAATATAATGTGTCTTTACGTAATGAGTATTAATCTCGCGTTACGTAAAATGCTAAGTCATTACGGAAGCCTTACGTAACCTACTGATTTAACTTTTACGTAAGAAATAACTGTCGTTCCGTAACCTTTACGTAATGAAAGGTCTTTTTACGTAATGAGTATTAATCTCGTGTTACGTAAAATGTTAAGTCATTACGTAAGCTTTACGTAATGAATGTGTATTTTACGTAACAGTTGTAAAATGTCATTGCGGAAGCCTTACGTAATTGAAGGTCTCTTTACGTAATGAGTATTAATGTCGTGTTACGTAAAAAGCTAAATGATTACGGAAGCTTTACGTAACGCTTTCGATTTCACTGTTACGTAAGAAATAACTATCGTTCCGTAACCTTTACGTAATGGAAGGTCTCTTTACGTAATGAGTATTAATCTCACGTTACGTAAAGTGCTAAGTTATTACGGAAGCCTTTCGTAACGCTTCTACTTTAATCAGAATTAAAATAAGGAAAGGATAAAATAAGAAAAAACAAATAAATATGAAAAAGGAAAGGAAAAAAAACAAGAAAGGTAACTTGCTTTGTGGCCACCGGCAACCCATGTTGCCATTGATTTTTTTTACTTATTTTTTATTTTTTATTTCTTTAATCAATGGTTTAAAATAAATTTGATCGATTTTAACGGTTTAGATCTATGCAAGTTACCTAACTTAAAATTATACCCAAGTTACTGTAGGAGATCCCTAAAATTATATACTCTCCTTTCTCTCCGTCAACTAAACAGAAGAAGCAGATTTTCTCCTTAATTAAAAACACGTGTACAATGAGATAAAATTATACAACATGCGCACAACTGAAATTCCATTAAAAAAAAAAAAGAGAGGCAACTACCAGCACTGATCGGTTTCCCAGTTCCTCCGGCCGCCGTAGACAGCTGCAGAGTAACCGGACGGCGCCGCCGCCGAATTGCAGTGAATCGACGAAGACCCAAAACCAAAAGGATCGCGGCGGTGGCGGTGGTAGAGATCCCTGTCGTAATTCTTTCTCTGATCGGGATCCGACAGCGTGGAGTATGCGGAGTGGATTCTCTTGAACTCGTCGGCCGACACCTCCCGCCGGCTGACAGACACCACGTCCGGGTGGCACGTTCTCGCTAGCCGGCGGTACGCTGCCTTTATCTCGCCGCCGGTCGCGCTCGTCGGAATTCCCAGCACTTCGTAGAGCGATAAGGACGCAGATGCCATTTTTTTTTTTTTTTTTGCCTCTTTTCTTTTATGTTGTGTTTGAGTTTCGTGTGTCAGGATTTGTAGGGCAAGGTTTTTATAGAGTTCACAATAGCGATGGTGAAATTTAAAGGGGTTTGTCGGATTTCGGGACAGAGTTTCAAATATAGGTCCAAATATTACGTGTCTAACAAATTGAATCGTCGAGATTCGAATAGAGTACGTCTCATCAGTTACAAAAGGCTTTGATATCACGTCAAAAATTAGTTGATTAATCCCAATAATTCGAAACATGTTCAGGTATAGATTATAAACCACTTACTGACAACATCAAATGACTCTCCATTAACTGTACCCAATACTCATAAAAAAGAGATACAATGGCTGGTAAAAATCATATCATGTCGAGAACCTTTTGATACAAATAATTAATTAAGATCCGATCATCTAACATAAATTGGTTACTATTAGAGGTGGCAATTGAATCGGATTCGTGGATTCGTGGATTGGATTGGTGGATCCATGGATCAAATGGATTGGTGGATTCATGGATTGGTGGATTGATCCATGAATCCAAATGACATCCAAGGTTTGGACCAAAATGTAAAATTTGAAAAGTTTTTGTACTAAAATGTCATAATGAAAAATTTTAGGTACCAAAATGTAATTTTCCAATGATATTTTTCGTATAAAAATATAAATTTTAGGTACCAAAATATAAAATATAAAAAATATAGGTACCATATCATAATTTGCCATTTAGATCCATGGATTAATCCATGAATCCACCAATCCAATTGGATTTGGATCAAATGGATTGAATTAGGTGGATAATTTGGTGGATGGATTGGATTTATGAATTTGGATCCTAATTGCCACCTCTAGTTACTATTCAACTTCATGATCATAGGATGACAATGTATTTTGGTTTGTCTACTCAGAATGATGCTGTTGGCCGGGGAAGTGTTTTCCAATATGCCAAAATCAAACTTAAGAATTCCTCATTACCACGACCATAAGCAAAAATGTCTTGCTAGCTTTTTACAGATGTGGCTGTGGTTATGAGTTTGAGAGGAGCCTTATCCAGAAGATAGAATATGTACTGCGCTGACTCAGCAACCTGGATAAATCGATAGATCTGATCCTTATACATATTTTTTTTTTATCTCATACCCATCATTCTAGAAGAAAGAACACTATAATGCGGGTTTGGCCTTTCTGCTGCAGACATAATTATTTGGGTGGTAAACGACACAACAAGCAGGGATAAGGTTTTTTTGCCGAAGTTGAAACAGGGGAAGGGTAATTTGGGAGGGAGCTTTATCTCTATCTGCAATTTGGGTAGAGGAGACACTTCACATGGAAAACCCACTGGTACCTCCATTTTGTTGGGTATGAAGAAGATGGTGCAGTGCACCAAATTAGAGTATCGGAAGAGCTCCTCTGTTCACTGGACTTGCTCAAAGCTTATCAAAGTATTGAGATCTAACAGGATTCAAACTCCGTGATTATTATATTTTATGATCAAAGATTATGATAGTACACAAGAAAAAAAAAACGTGATGTAATCAGTGGCATAATCGTGTTGATGGCGGGAGAGATTGTAGCTAGGGCTGCAAATGAGTCGAGTCGAGTTTTTACTTAGTTTGAGCTCGGCTCGTTTATAATCTTTTTAGCTCGAATTTCGATTATTCAGCTCCAGCTCCAGCTCCAGCCAGTGGCGGATCCAGGAATTATACGTAGGGGTGTCCTCTATAAAAAATTAAATTAAATGCTAAAATTAAATTAAATAATTATTAAATATGAAAATATCTAACTAATAAAAGTTTCATTAAAAGTTCAGACGTGTTTCATCAAATGATAAAATGCATTCGGTGTTTATACTGCTCAACAAATATCTCTTGACATATCTTACTAGACAAGGATATCACGTAATTGAGTTTAATCGTTAGGTTTTGAAAATAATTTTAGATAAGAATAACATTTCACTATTATATTTGGATCTAAAACACAATAACAAATGAGTTGTAGCGTAATTGAAAATATATTAACTAATAGTGGCAGTGTCCTAAATTTAAATCACATAGACTACTACTTAAATATTATTTATACCAATACGCAAACTACTACGAGAGATTGGATAATCATTTTTCCAAATTTTAAAGGTGTCCCACTACCACTTAAACATTTTTTTTTCTCATAAACAAATTACTATCGTAGGTTGAATAATCGTGTTTCCAAATTTTAGGGGTGTCCATGCATGTATCCGCCACTGGCTGCAGCTCGACTCGGTAGATTCGGTAAATGCTCATTAACACAGCTTGTCTAGCTGAGTACACGCTCGGCTCAATATGAGCTCGATTAGAAATCATTCTTGCTGAAAAAGGTGTAAACATAGAAAATTTTAAGTGATAAAAACAACACTATAAACTAAACATAGCGGCTAAGTTCCATACACATCTGTATTAACAAGATAATGCTCATGTTCCGAAGAGTAATTAATCAATCCACAAGCTAGTTCGCGAGCTTAGCTCAACAAGCCACCGAGTCAAGCTAGCTCACGAGCTTATCAAGCTGAGCATGGCCTAGCTCAAGCTTGGCTTGTTTACTAACGAGCCGGCTCTCAAGTCGGCTTGTTAAATAACGAGCCGAGTGTCGAACGAGTTTTCCAATTCGAACGCCGAGTTGCTCGCGAACGGCTTGGCTCATTTGCAGCCCTAGCTGTAGCCCCACTCAACTCTCAAAATCATGTAAATTCTGTATAATATCGGGAAGAAACTTCTAACTCTTGGACCGTCTAATCTGCCCCCTCAATAGTATTTAGCTTTGTTCCTATCATTAAATAGCTAAGAAGAATGCGTGAGGTTTAACATGTGACGAGTCTATGATAATCAGCCCTCAAGTCTATGGTAATCACCCGATTCCCCTCTTTTGCCCGAAACGTGTTTTGATTGCATTTGGACTCCAATGGAACCCTTTTCTCTATTTGCATACATAATAATGTTTGTTGGGTGACAATAGTTAAAAGAGTGACATTAATTGTACGTTACTTGGAGTTGTCACTTTCTTATCCCTTCCACACTTAGATTAGGGTTTTGTGTGGTTCCTTTTTGCCTAATAACCAGCTTGATGCCTTTGTTTAGTCTTAATTGTCTTTTGCTCACTGTTTGCCAATGAGAAAAGTGACTTGAAGAAGTTGACTGATAACTGACAAAAGTTGGCCAATGTGGCAAGAGCTCAATGCATGAATGAAATAGCTAGCCAAATGGGTGTGTGCTCTGTTTTGAGTTTTCAATTTGAATGGTGCACTCAACTAGCCAAACTTGGGTTGTCATGACTCATTTTGAGTGTATGTGTATTATCCCATAGGATGATTATGTTCACCTTTCTCATTCCAGGAGATAATAGTAAGCATCAATCATTGCAAGTCTAGAAGTTAGATTCCAGTATTGTACGGTGTCTGACTATTCAACATTGTTTACGGTAATCAACGGTGATTAACCATTAGTTATGGGAAATGAAACTTGAAAAATAGATCAACTAATTCCCGTGACTAAAATTATACCATTAATTACTGTATTTTTTCTAGTGACTGTTAGTGTACTTCTTAATACGACAAACATCCTCGTGAATAAATTACTGTGACTAGAGACCAATTTTTTTGTAGTGCTAGATACTATTATATTTGCGTCTATAATATATATATATAAGGAGCATTTATATTTGCATCTAAAGACTATTAAATTTGTCTCTATATGGCATAACTATAAGCAACATTTGTAATTGTCTCTAAAGACTATTAGATTTGCCTGTAGAGACAAAAAAATTCACCTATTGAGACAAATAATATATTTGCCCCTAAACCTTAGCTATAGAGACCACTACAACAATTGCCTCTAATTATTTGCTTCTATAGGCTGGTTTTCTTGTAGTGGATTCATGAACATATATTAATAAGAAAACTTGATCTTATTAGTTATGATTTTGACTAATCATGGCCAAACCATTAATACCATATACTCTAACCATATACCCTACAAGTCGACTATATAACCTATACCCTAAACCCCTACTGGTTTGATTCATGAACATATGTTAATAAGAAAAGTTGATCTTATTAGTTATGATTTTGACTAACCGTGGTCAAATCATTAAGACTTTATACCCTAACCATATACCCTATAAGCCGACTCTATAACCTATACCCTAAACCCCTAATGATCTGAATTCTGATTGATGAACATGTGTTAATAAGAAAAGTTGATCTTATTAGTTATGATTTTGACTAATAATTGTTAAACCATTAATACCTTATACCCTAACCCATTAGACTAACCATATACCCTATACATCGACTCTATAGTCTATATACCCTAAATCCCTAATGATTTGATTCACGAACACGTGTGATAAAAAACTTGATCCTTATTAGTTCTAAGTTATTATTTTGAGTTTTTGACTAATCGTGCCTAAAATTTTAATACCTTATATCCTAACCCATTACACTCATTATATACCCTATACCAACTAAAATAAGCAAGTAGTTATGTGTACTAAAATAAGCAACTTAAATCTTATAATTATCTTATTATGCTAAATTAATATTTTATAATGTTATGTGCACTGTTAGGTTGATGATGTATCTAAATAAATATTTGATGATATTATATGCGTTAATAGGTTGATGATGTATATTATTATACTAAGTTAATAATTGATGATGTAATGATCAGACTTTAGTGAACTAGAATTTCAAATGTCAACTTTTAGTTTATCTTCATCGAATTCCTTCTATTATAGTCGGGCTGCGGGTTGGTCGGGTTACGGGTTCGGGTTAGTCGGGTTGCGGGTTGATCGGGTTGCGGGTCGGGCGGGTTGCGGGCTGGTCGGGTTGCGGGTCGGGCGGGTTACGGGTCATTGACTTTTAGTCAAATCGGGTTGCGGGTCGGGTTGATCGGGTTGGTTACTCGGATCGGGTTACAATGTGATGGCGAGAGATATGATTCTTAGGCTAACTCCAG